AAAAAAAAAAAAAAAACAGCCAGGTGTGATGACATATATCTGTAGTCCATGCTACTCAAGAGGCTGGGTGGGAGGATCGTTTGAGCCCAGGAGGGAGGCATTGCCGTGAGCCAAGATCATGCCACTGCATACCAGCCTGGGCAACAAACAAGACCCTGTCTCAAAAAAACACCAAAACCACCCAACAGAAACAAAACTAGATAAAATTTCCTTTGTACCATGGAATGCTATGCAAATGAGATATGAACACTGTTGAAAGGAGTATTTGCAAACTTGAAAGAATCAGCAATAAGAAACTCGGGTGCATGCTTGAAGAGCACCTACAACACACAGGCAAATAAACAAGTTTTCTAAAACACTGGCCTTACATTTCTGGAGTCTTGGATTTGTTTTTTCCATTGAAGAACTCAGGAAGAGCACGCCGTTCAATTACGTGAATACTGAAAAGAAGGAAAAAAAAGGGAGTTTAGGAGTCTTCTTTTTAAAATAATAAAATCATAAAATTTTCTAAGTAAAAGTGATGAATCCAAAACTTGAGTACTGCTTGCCAAAATTAATTGGCTTACACTAGTTTCTATGTATTAACAGCATACAAGAAAGTTTAAAGAACTCTTTCTCTTTCTCACTCCCAATACTTTAGTTTTTCTATTTCTACAACTGAACTAGAAAGCTGCTATCAACAGACTGAAAACCACATATTTATTATTTTTTGGCATAATACATTGACTAGATATGAAGCCACAAGATATAAAGACTTCTTTGAAAATTGGCTACACAAAAAAAGTAGCTGGCATGGCATGGAAACAAAACTGATGAAACAGATGACCAGTGTAGAGACAATGAATTTGCAAGTCTCAGCTTCTCAGGCTGTTAACATAAATGAGCCTTTGTCCAGCCCTCAGAAACACTGTGATAAATTAATTTTTAAAAAATTTGTTACAGGTTAGGAAGAGCCCACTTAAAAAAAAATTCTGTATTCGTAACTAATACTTTCATTAGCTCTCTAATTGAATGTACTGTGACATGCAAAGATGATCAGGCAAATGAAAATCTTTCTGTAAATGATAATCTTACATAGTTGTTACTGTAATGACTTTTCTATTTTCTAATTTTATTTAACTTTTAATTTTTAAAAAAACTTTTTTTTTTTTTTTTTTTTTGAGACAGAGTCTCGCTCTGTCGCCAGGCTGGAGTGCAATGGTATGATCTCAGCTCGCTGCAACCTCTGCCCTCCCGGGTTCAAGCAATTCTCCTGCCTCAGCCTCCCAAGTAGCTGGGACTTCAGGCACACGCCACCAAGCCCAGCTAATTTTTGCATTTTTAGTAGAGATGAGGTTTCACCGTGTTGGTCAGCCTGGTCTCAATCTCCTGGTCTCGTGATCTGCCCACCTAGGCCTCCCAAAGTGCTGGGATTACAGGCATTAGCCACTGCACCCAGGCCATTTTTTTCTTTTTTAAGAGACAGGGTCTCAACTCCTGTGACCCGGACTGGAGTGCAGTGACGAAATCATAGCTACTTCACTGTAACCTAGAACTCTAAGCACAAGCAATCTTTCTGCCTCAGCCTCCAGGAGAGCTGGGACAGGCAGGTGCCATCATACCTGGTTCATTAAAATTTTTTTTTTGTAGAGACAAGGTATAACTATGTTACTCAGGCTGGTTTTGTACTCCTGGGCTCAAGCAATCCACAAGCCTCGGCCTCCCAAAGTGCTGTGATTACAAATCAGAGCCACAGCACCAGCCCCTTTCTGCTAATTTTAGAGGAAAAGAATGTTAGTTTTTCATGTGTGTCCTCTTAGGTCATTCTACTAATAAGTGTTAAAGTTTCTCAATTTTAACAGAACATCTCACTATTTTGGAATAATTAAAAGTGCATAAAATATCTAAAGATAGAATATGTTTTTTAAAAGTAATTTACTCTTTAATACATCATATATTGATAATTGTTTATGAAATAAAAATTGGTATCAGTTAACAAAAGGCTACATTACAAATTTATAAACAAGCCAGGCATGATAGCTCATGCCTGTAATCCCAGCACTTTGGGAGGCCAAGGCAGGCGGATCACTTGACATCAGGGATTTGAGACCAATCTGGCCAATATGGTGAAACCTCATCTCTACTAAAAACACAAAAGTTGCTGGGCATGGTGGCAGGCACCTGTAATCCGCAGCTACTCGGGAGGAGGCAAAGAATTGCTGGAACTCGGGAGGTAGAGGTTGCAGTGAGCCAGTATCGTTCCACTGCACTCCAGCTAGGCGACAGAGTAGGACTCCATCTCAAATAAAAAATAAAATAAAATGAAATAAACATCATTTTATTGTGAGGCAAAAGCAAAAAATTGAGTCTAAAAAATCTGAATGTTAAACACATAATTGCGAAGATGGCTGATCACTGGCAGCTCGGGATTGTAGCTCCCACTGAAAGCACAGAGAAGAGGACACCACCCTCTCAGATCAATTTTTGCTGCTCACGCACCAGGTAATTCCCAGCGGAGGAGCCCCACGGGTCGCCAGCGCGACTCTTGTGGCCGGCAAGGCGGTTTTGCCACTGCCTTGGTGCGGCAGTTCTTGGTGCAGAGTCAGAAAAGCGACATCAATCTTAACGCCGCTGTTTTGGCCGGCGCAGTGGGTTGCTCAGATTTGAGTGCCAGGAATCAACAAGTTGGACGTCCATTCAGAAACCCAACTATAAAGACGGTAATTATAAAGACCACAGATAGATAAATCTATAATGAAGGGAAGAAACCGGCCTAAAAAGGCTGAGAATACCCAAAATCAGAACGCCTCTCCCTCTACAGGGGATCACAGTTCCTCATCAGCAACTGAACAAGACCTAATGGAGAAAGACTGTGTTCCATTAACAGAAGCAGGCTTTAACAGGTGGATGATAGAAACTTCTGGGAATTAAAAGAACTTGTTCTAACCCAATGCAAAGAAACTAAGAACTCTGAAAAAAGGTTTGACGAAATGTTAACAATAATACACAATTTAGAGAGGAATATAAGTGAATTAATGGAGCTGAAAAACACAACACGAGAACTTTGCGAAGTATGCATAAGTTTTAACAGCCGAATTTATCAAGCAGAGGAAAAAATATCAGAGGTCGAAGACCAACTTAATGAAATAAAACGTGAAGACAAGATTAGAGAAAAAAGGATAAAAAGGAACGAGCAAAGTCTCCAAGAAATATGGGACTATGTGAAAAGACCTAATCTACGTTTGATAGGTGTACCTGAATGACAAAGAGAATCAATCCAAGCTGGAAAATACGCTTCAGGATATTATTCAGAAAAACTTTCCCAACCTAGCAAGGCAGGACAATATTCAACTCCATGTAATGCAGAGAACACCACAAAGATATTCCTCAAGAAGACCAACCTCAAGGCACATAATCGCCAGATTCACCAGGGTTGAAATGAAAGAAAATACTGAGGGCAGCCAGAGAGAAAGGTCAGGTTACCCATAAAGGGAAGCCTATCAGACTCACAGCAGATCTCTCAGCAAAAACCCTACAAGCAAGAAGAGAGTGGGGGCCAATATTCAACATCCTTAAAGAAAAGAGCTTTCAACCCGGAATTTTACATCCAGCCAAACTAAGCTTCATAAGCGAAGGAAAAATAAAATCTTTTGTGAACAGGCAAGCACTCAGAGATTTCATCACCACCAGGCCTGCTTTACAAGAGCTTCTGAAAGAACCACTACAAATAGAAAGGAACAACCAGTATCAGCCTTTCTAAAAAATACCAAAAAATAAAGAACATCAACATAATTAAGAACTTACATCAACTAATGGGCAAAACAGCCAGCTAACATTAAATGGCAATATCCAACTCACATATATTATTATTAATTCTAAATTTAAATCGACTAAATCCCCCAATCCAAAGACACAGACAGGCAAAAAAAAGCCAAGACCCATTGGTATGCTACATCAGACCCATCTCACATTCAAGGATACACAAAGACTCAAAACAAAGGGATGGAGAAAAATTTACCAACCAAGTGGACACCAAAAATAATAAATAAATACAAAGCAGGAGTTGCAATTTTCGCTGATAAAATAGACTTTAAAGCAACAAAGATCAAAAGAAGCAAAGAAGGATATTACATAATGATAAAAGGATCCATGTAACAAGAAGAGCTAAAGATCCTAAATATATACACACCCAATACAGGAATACCCAGATATATAAGACTTATAAAGAGACTTAGCCTCCCACACAATAATAGTGGGAGACTTCAACATCAATATTAGACAGATCAATGAGACAAAAAGTTAATAACTGATATCCAGGACTTGAACTCAGATCCAGAACAAGTAGACTTAATTAACATTTATACAACTCTCCACTTTAAATACACAAAATATACACTCTTATCAGTAACACATCACACCTATTTACAGGTTTAAATGAAATATTGGTTGGCTGCTTGTTATTTTCTCCCTCATTTTTTTTTCATGTCTTTATTATTAAACACAATTACAGGCATACCCATTTTTAGACTTCATTCTAGCCCGAGCAATAAAGCAACACCCCTGTTCTCTCTCCCTCTTCCTCTTCCCCTTTCTTCCTCTCCTTCATTCTTTTTTTTTATTCTTTCTCTTCCTTTAAAAAAAAAACGAATAAAGAATGATCTTAAATAAACAACTTAATACTGTACCTCATGGAACTAGAAAAGAAGAAAGTAAGCCCAAAATTAGAAGAAGGAAGGAAATAATAGAGATTAGAGCACAAATAAATGAAATAAAGAGTAGAAAGACAGAACAAAAGATCAACAAAACTGAGTTAGTTTTTGAGAAGATAAAATCAACAAATGTTTAGTTAAAAAAGAGGCAATATCCAAATAGAATAAATGAAAAAGGAGGAGAGGGAGTAAAGATAGTCAAATAGATGCATCTGGGATGCACCTCTTCCATAGAGAGAAACCAAAATATTGAGTAAATCTTCACACTTTGAATAGATCTTTTGAGAGAAAACACTGAAATTTAATATATAGGCCATGACAGACACCATGATTGAAGACGTAGGAAGCCACACTGCTGACTCAGTATTGCTAGGAACCTTGGGACCAGAATGGACCCAAGGAAGGTGTGAGTGAAGAAACCCAGGGACACCACATTCCCTCTGTCGACCTCTGAAATTCTAGCTACAAGAGTTCACACAACCCCTGAAAAAAAAAAAAAAAAGGAATGAGGAAAGAGCCAATGGCAATGCAGTAGACCTGTGGCATGAGAGCAGACAGTACAGGGTGACAGGGGAACAGGAGGGCATCCAGGGGAGGGGAGTGAGTAGAATCTGCAAGAATGAATGGACAGGAGTAAGGAGTGTAGGCACAGGTGTCATTAGGCACAGCACAGTGACAAGAAAGGCGTGGATAACCTAGGGAGCTTCAGGCCTAGGGTAGCCTCATCAAATCTCCTGGTGGAGGGCAGGACA